GTAATATAATTTAACACTATCACGTGAATAGTGTTTTCCAATGGATTACGCAACAGAACGGATAATAACTAGAGCGTAACACTGTTGATGTTGGATAGTGACATCTACAGGATGCTCACAGATTTGTTTTCAATACTGATTAAAAAAACTATTCATAACTGATTTTCCCAAGGAAAAAAAAATATTAAAATTTGTTTTTCCAATATTTTAAATTGGTTTTAATAATTAAACATAAACATTCAATAATTAAGAAAAAACCATAAATTTACTATTTCAGTTGAGAATAAATTCTATTTTAGATTCTTTTCGATTATTTCTGTATACACAAGAATTGTTTGATCTCATGTTTCTGCTATAGATAGAGTCGTTGCAATTTAGTAGAATAGGGAAAGTTTCAGTTATCTGCAACAATTATTTGTTGACGAAATTGAAATACTATTTTTTTTTAATAACCTATTTTGCGTTATGGTACTTTCGTTAAAACCAATTGTAAATATTTCATAAACCGTTTTTGATTGAATTTATTTTCGTCTTTAATATACGTCGTTTTTTTGTAAGTACTTCCCATGAGACTCAGAACGCATTTCTATTCTCAATAAAACCCGAATCCATTTTTAAAAAGAAGGACCAAAAAGAAAACACAAAATGTGTATCCAATTACTCTTTCTTTTTTCTTTTTTCTTAATTGCTTATTCTTAATACAAATGTGTTCGTTGACGTTGGTTTGAGACTTATAAATATGCTGTTAGTAGATTTTCATGTGAACAGATTCCATAAATATTAGTCAAAAATAAATAAGAACAATTAATTTAACTGAGTTTGACAGAACGAGTTAATTCTTTTTTTGAGTTATTTAATTCTTGAGAAGTTAAAATTTGGTAAATAGCAGATCTTATTTTTTTAGAAAAAAAATCCTAGTGAACATTTTGTCAAGGTGTTCGGATGCATTGCTTTTAATATTCTAAAAATATTTATTATCAATGATAGGCTCTCTTTTTTCACAGGATAACATTTATTTCTTTCTCATCATACACATGTCGTATAAGTAAAATACTATTTTTCTAACGATTATATAGAACAAAAATGAATTGAAACAAAGATTTGTTGGAGAGATTGCTGAAAAATATAACTTTTTTAGAGGGCATAATAGAAGACCATGGGTCTTCTAATGTTTCGGGAGCTTTAACTGTATTTAACTCGTTGTGGTTATACGTGTAGAACTGTAATTATTTACGACAATCTATATCTTTATGTTGCTTGTTGGAAAGTGCGCCAAGTAATTTCTCGATAGTTCTAATTAGTTGTGTATCAGATAGATCACTAAAGAAACTTTCTATAAACGTAATGAGCATTTGTTTTTGAATTGGAGCACAATATCTAATGAATATTATATCATCCAATCAATTATTGAATGGACAAAAACTAATCGTGGTGCAATACTGCATTTATATACCAAAATCACAAATATAGAAAAAGATGCGTAAATAAAGACGGTTTCAGAAATATGAATCTGTTACAACAAATCTTGTGGAGTATCAATGGTATTATAAAATGATATCCACAACAACATTTACATAACGAACTTCAACATACACCTGAGGTTAAAGCTGTATTAGAAAAAAATATATGGAAGCAACCACCGATTTATTAAAACCAGTAACCGAAATTTATCGACAACACTTAGTTCAATATGTATACTTTTATTAACACCAAATTCGTTTTTTTTAATATAATGCTTTTTTTGTCAGAAAAGAAAAAAAGATACAGCTCAAGATATTCCCGTTTTCATTTATATAAGATCAACAGTCTATCGTTGTCGTTCATCTGTTCTACCACCAGTTCTGAAAAGCTTAAAAGACATCATTATACTTGATAGTTTAAAATTCTTAGAAAATGGCGACCCGTTTGTAATATCTGACAATCCGGCACCACATCGTCTAATAGCATTATGTTATCCACAGGTATTGGTTTCACCTAGTGCGCATTTACTGCAATGATTTTCAAATTGTTTGCTAGATTCCTATTTTTAGTCGTGTATCATTTTACCGGTAAAAACTAATTGATTTTGAATTATTTTTCTTCGTATTGAATGACACCGAAGTTCTACCCGAAATTCCACAATATATGTAGTTGCGATTTCTTGAATACAAACATCGATTTCATCTGACTCGAGTTTCATTTCTTAAATAAAAATATTGAAATGAAACGGTATGATATAATTTATCTACCTTTTCTAAGAAACAATATCCTAATGAATATCTATTCATATAGGATATAGCTATACTATTTGTTTTGCTCAAATGCCCAGAGTTAACTAAAATCATTTTATCCATGAAAACAAACTCTACAATTTGTTTTTACATAGTTTTGAAAAGAAAGACATGATATATATGCAACAAATTTGTTATATATAACTATCATCAGTAAATAATGAAGAGGCATCGAAGTGAGAATTATGTTAAATGTTCTTGGGCAGCGTAGAATTCAAAATCATTCAAAAACCAAATATGAAACATAGAAGTAGTTTTCTTCTCATAATATAATGTAATTATTTTCAAATAAATAATTTGATCACTTGAAAAAAGAGAAAGAATTGTAGAAGGTCGTTTTAAGATTATGTTGCAAATGAAAAATAATCCTAAAATACAGAATGTTTTTTTTTGCTTTATGCTTAGTTGGATCAAATAGCCGTTATCTATTTTTAGATTGTCTGATGATGAAGTCTTTCGATGAATACCGCAACAGATGAGAATAGAATTCTATCAAAATTCATCTATTTCTAATATAGAACAAAAGTCTTTTTTCCACTAAGGATTTCTCAGAAAAATTAACTTTGTAGAGGATTGATTGAGCTCTATCAGACTGTGACGTTCTCATTTGATTTATTTTTTATATCTTGATAAGAAGAAAAACGAAAATTTTGCAACTGATTAAATATAAGGTTTGCGTTCGTTTAACTAGATATTTAATGAAAATTTCTTGATATATCTTTTCCACAGAGCACTAATCTTGAGATTATATTAGAAATATTAACATATCGATGTGTCTCTCGGCCACTTTCGAATTAAAATGATTGAATTTCAGATTTCTTTCAATGATTTTCGATACTGTCATAAAACAGACTTCAAATAATCCTTTTTTTCCCTATATTATCATATAAAACCTTTGGGATCTTGAGTGGAGAAAAATGAATCCTTCATTACTCTATCGTACCTTTTAACTAATGAAACGGGCTGTTACTTATATCAGCTCCCTTACAAATAGTACCATTCCAAAAAACATGAATCTAGAAACAGCTCTGTTGCGTTTTTTAGTAGATAACCAATTGTTCAATCGACATCGTTCTCTATGAATATGTTAATGAGCTTGAGATAAGAGTCTGTTCAAAAGAAACTTTTCTTTTTCGAAATTCTTGAATAAAGTTACGANAAATAAATCTACAAGATTATAATAGTCACTTGTGCAGAATGTTGATTTTGATTGAATTGAAGTTACAGAAAGAACTATTTTTTTTCTCTCTTTTGCCTTCACGACATAGCTATATCTTTGTAATCAATCATTTTTTTTTGATTCACTAATCTCACCGATGGAAAATCAGGCAATATTCCACGGAAATACTCAGATAAAACAAATTACAGGTGTTTCAAGACTTTCCTATTGCCTTCTCTTACGTTATAGTGATGAATTTTAACGATAACTACTAGATTGTTAAAATATTGATCCTTATTCGCATCGACAACTAGAAAGATGAACTCTACTTTTATCAGAAGAAAAATTAAAAGAAAAGATTAATCTTTTTTTGTGATGTGTATGAAAAAAATATGCTTTACAATGAGGAGAACATATTTGTACATGACAACATGTGCAATCTTCTTAACACAGCTGTCAATGGGTCTCTATAACATTGTAACTATTGACACGAACTGTAATTTCATAAAGATGGTAGAGTTACACTTCTAGATATTTTGAATTTCATACAACGTTTTTGACTTTTCTCCGTCAATTGAAAATTCATTCCATAGAATCACTCTGACAGAATCCTTAGAATTTCCCTATTCGTTTCTCTATAACGTTTATTTAGTAAGAATCTTTCAGTAGAATTTTTCCTATACCTACTAAATTATTAGTAAAGATTTCTTGCAACTGTAAATTTTGGAGTGATATCTGATTTAAGATATAACTACTTTTAGAAAACTCATACACATGCATGCATTACAATTATTGTACTTAAAAAGTAAAAGCTTTTTCTTTTTGTTTCCGATTAAATTACTATTGCGATTTCTATACTTACGAACAACCATGTTTTATAGAAGAGTTTTCAAGTGCATAAGTGTATAATAAATGGAATTTCTTTTAAAATGTTTTTAAAACTCTTTCTATTATTGGTATATTATTTTGTTCATTCATGTTTCGTTAATGATGTTGACTTCATCACGCTATTAATTTGAATAATAACATGTGCGATAAAATAACAAGTACATGTAACAGCCTCTTTCTGTTTTGATACGAAACGAATTTATCCTTTTTTGGATTCTCATTTGTGCATTTCACTATCGAAATATGAATGAAATGTTAAAATGCTCTTGTTATTTTATCTCACATGTCTTTATACAAATAAATAGTTTGATGAAGTCCACATTGTTGAAAATAGCTCTCTAATTCGATTATATGGTGAACTTCATATAAAACGCTGATAAATTCGAAGTGACGCTTGTGTTGAGAAGT